TGACTTTCAGGCTGTTTGATGCACAAGTATGTGACACCAAGTACATTCCAACAAGGTCTCTTTTCTAAAGCACACTTCAAATATAATTTTTTCCTATTATAATTTGAATCACTGCCTGACCAAGGTCCATTTTCATGCCCATGTATGCTATATAAATCAATTCTGTGTAGACCCCAGAGCAAAGAGGCATGCTGTGGAGAAAGGATTTTATGTCCTGTTACTGTTGATATTTCAAAAGCAGCCTTGTTAAAAAGAGAAAAGAGCTCAAACTATGAAATCATTTCCTTCTGTTTAAAATATTTTATTCCGATGAGGGGAGAACAGAGGATAATGGGGGGAGAGGCATTGGGGGGGGAGTCTCTTCTGTTTTGGCTTTTCCTTAAGAGTCAATGTTTCAGCAATGTTGTGGGATGATGCAGTGTGCCAGCTCCCGACTGCTCCAGCCAGAGGTTCAAGTCATCTTAGTCCTAAAACAATGAAACCTCTTGTGAAACGCAACTAGACCCCACATCATTCATGCCATCAGGAGGAGATTTGTCCACACACCCCCACTCCACCCCCCTCCCCTGTGCCTCTGGAGAAAGGGTAACCATCCTACTGGAGCAAAGCAAGACTATAAGGAGATGAGAGACACAATGTCAGGCATTGACTACACCCGATAAACAAGATTCATTTGTTTGGCCCTTGTGCAACTCCGGAGGGAGAATAGATGAAAATACATCACGTCTCATTGGAAAGATTTCCACCACCACCACCACGCTACTAGGAAGAGAGTAAATCCAGATGGACTGACAGGGAGCTATAGAAGTTGCTTGAATTACATGTGGATTTAAATGGATTCAACAGCACTTTTACAACAATGGCATTAAATCTCTGATCTCTGCAGTATACCTCCTTTATTTGAGTCAGGCTTATTTATATATAACTATATCATTCCTCTGGAAGTTGTACAGTTCATCATATTATATACTAGAAAACACAGTTTTTACTCTACAAGCATAGTTTGATTGCTCCTGACCCTCTTTTCTCATAGTCAGATTAGTGTCAATGTATCTGGCAGGAGATGATTTTAGGATGACACATATAAAAATGCCCTGCTTATGTAATATGGATGTGTATGTTGCATATTTACTCAGCAGAAAAAGAGCTGTATCCTACAAGTTTACCTTGTGCAAGCTATAAAATGACTGAGTAAAAGAAGAACTCTATCCTGCACAGGACACACTCTATCACATGCTAGCCTGGAAAATGTCTGCTATTCTATTTGGAAATACTGTATATTAGTTGTTTTCTACAAGGAAAGAAGAACTCTGTCCTATGCAAGGCAGAAAACTATGCAGTATGGGCACAGTTCTAGGCTATGCAGGCCAGGAAAATGTGTAATTTTTTCCACAGTGAAGGAACTGTGTTCTGTGCAGGATGCTCTTTGGTCTTGCTTAGACTAGCACAGGGCATTTTTGAAAGCTCCATTTTAATTGTTTTTGGTGCAGGAGTCCCACCCCCACTTTTTTTGTTAACTAACCCCTATTTGTTGTTGTTTAATCGTTAAGTCGTGTCCAACTCTTTGTGACCCCATGGACCAGAGCGCGCCAGGCCTCCTGTCTTCCACTGCCTCCTCGGAGTTTGGTCAAAAACTAACCCCTATACTGTGCTATAACCCAGCAACATTTGCAGTGGAATAGCTTGCTTTACCACACTACTTTGTGTTTTCTGCACAGAAAGTAAGTGAAAACAGTGAAAAAAGAGACAGACATCTCCTAGTAATGTTAGGAAATCTCATGGGACCAAGAAATGTTTCAGTAAGGAATGTGGACATAATGAGACAGGGAAATTCAACAAAAACAAATAATTTTTCAAATATTTGTTATAACCCTAATAAGCAGTAATAATTTCGTATCAGCCTTCTGTCTATCAAGAAAACACTTCCATTTTTTAAATATACACATTAGTCAATGAGTCAGTGAGTGAAGCTTGTAAAACATGTAATTTTGGTTTTAATTAATAGGGCTATATGACTTGTGCCACTCAACTGTAATTCCCCCACATAAAATGATTTAAAGGACTTTGAGCCTTGTTCCAGGGACTTTTCGTTTCAGAGAATGCAAATATTTTCTTCTCCCTTTTTCTATCTCAAAGTCAAAGACATCATCTTGACTCAGATACAGAGGCAACAATCTGGTGCCAGGCTGCTGGAGAAGGCTGTGTGCTTTTTTTGCACACAGAATTGTATACAAAGTTTACTGATGCATGAAGCCCTAAGTTTATTTGGAAAATCCATGCAATATTGTGGATAAGTGTTCAGTAATCTTTTCCACACGCATGTCTGAGAGCACATTTAGGCCTCTTTAAGCTTTTCCAAGGCCAGGAAATACAGTCATGCCAGAGACAGATTGCTAATGTTGCCATTCACATTATATAGAAAGAAATGTTGGAGGTTGAATGCTGAACTTTCCATTCATTTGCTTTTTTAATTATGGCAGCTTTCTAAATATGAAGGATAAATGGCAGTTTAACTTTTTACTCAGGAAAACCATCCACAATTTAAATTCAAGGGTCTGATAATTTTTAGTGAACTTCTAGTTTTGGAGAACTCAAGTTAAAAATCTTAACATGAAATTATAGTGTGGATTCTCAATTCTTTAAATAAACTGATTTATCATACTCATATTGGTAGCAAACTTGCCATATAACGGAAACATGCCATAAAAGGTTCTATGTATCATAATGCAAAATTAACTCTTTTATTCTGTACAGAAATAGTAACCTGAAGTACTGTATGTGCATTGCCCAGCCATCTGGGGAATTCCAGAATTGTAGTCCAAAATCATAAATCTGCACCCCTCTAATAATAATAATATTATAAAGACTGAGGCTGGAGTTGTAATGAGCTGAAATGGAATGTGTTAAGAAATTTCTTGACTCCATTGTTACACATCAAGAAAAGAGTAGTGAGAGCTAATACTGCTGAGTGTTAGCTCTCACTGTGTGTGTGCATGCGTGCCCGCGCATAAACATTCAGAAAGCCTGAACACGTTTGCTAAAAGTCTAACAATGGCTATCAAAACAATGTACCAACCACTGTTTGTTATTTAGTGAGGTTTTTAGTGTACCCAGCAAAATAAAATTCCTAGTAAATACTTTAAAATATTTACTTGGTTGCATACCGTATTTTTCGCTCCATAAGACGCACAGACTTTCCACACCCCTGTTCTGTGGGAAAAAAGTGAGTCTTATGGTGCAAAAAATACAGTATATTCTATGTAGAAAATTGTCACGTATGTTAAAAATTTAATGTCCCTTCCCACATTCCTGTCCTCGCCAGGGAGAAATGCAAAACAGTAATCCATAGTCCTCCAACAGCATCAGAAACCCAAGCTCGTATGAGAAGGCCTAATGACATAATTATGTCCCAACACTGGCATCACTGCAGTGGTTCCCACTCCTGTGAGACAATTTCAAAAGGACTGAAAGATAGGTCTAAAACTACTACATTCAAAATGACTTTTGATTATGCAATATATAAAGTGAGTGGGCTGAGCGGGCAGCATGTGGCCTACAGCCCAAACAAGCCCCCCTCCCCACTTTCTTCTGCCAAATGTCTCTGCTGCTAAATTCACTGATTTAGCAGTGGGACAAAAATGATCTCTCAGTTTTTGCTAATAAAAAAGACACATAGTGGGGGTACATGCCTTTCTTAAAGGAGACATGTTATCAGAAGCTTCTAGGTGACATGATTTTCATTTAAAATCCCTAGTGTGGATTCACACATGCATTGGTTTCTTAGTTTGCCTAAGATATGATTTTTTTTCACACTACAGCAAAGGCAGCTTCAGTGGCAAACACTGCTGTTTTGTTTTGTTCTTAACACATAAATGATTACTAAGAGGGACAACAAGAATCTTAACAACTAAGAATCACTGTTAACGTAAGCATTACAGTGATACCATCTGAATTTCTATAGCAGTTCACATTGTTCTGCCCTCCCCATCCCACACAATCTTCTATATCTACTCTGCTGATCCTACAATCCATACATCTGGAGAAATGGACTGCAGCCAAGGTTTCCTGTAAGCTGCATACACAAATGTCTCCACATTCCTCTGCTCAGCTTTCTTCCTCCACCACGCAATGACTGTGTTCCACCCCTTTGGTTCTGCTTGCGACGGAACCTTGTGTGTGCGGGGAGGGGGAAGGCGGAGTTGTGCGCGTGCACACGGGTGAAGTCACCCATATGGTGGAGGTGGAGCCCTGCCCAGCAGGGCTGAAAATTAGAGCATACACTGACTGCAGCCCACAAAGACTCCTGCCAAATAAAACTGATTAGCCTTTAAGGTGTCACAAGGCTCCTTGTTGTTTTTGCTACAAAAGACACATTAGGCTCTGTCGCAAACCGGTTGATACAGCGGACCCTCGACTTACAGACGGCTCCACTTACAGACTTTTCAAGTTATAGACTTCTCTGGCCGCAAAATTTAGGTTCGACTTGCAGCCGGAGAATCGACCTACAGACTGGAAAAAAAAAAAACCCAAATGGAACAACAACAGCCAGTTACGGATTAATCGGTTTTAATGCACTGTAGGTCAATGGAGCCTCAACCTACAGACTTTTCAACCTGCAGCCACCGTTCCAATACGGATTAATTCCGTAAGTCGAGGGTCCAATGTATCTCTAATGCATTGCAGAAGGGATAATGCACTCCTTGTCCCTCAGAGGTTGCCCTTCCTGTTCTAGAAAAAGCATACTGAATAAATCCACATCACAGACCAAATGATAACTTGGAAAATGTAAACCTTAATGTTACAGAAGAAACTACTGAGATGCAAAATATTCTTACATACATGCAAATATACATTTCTCCAGAAGAATATTTTACAATATACAATATCATCAGCAGGGAGCAAATACATGAAATACAATAGAGCATAAGTACAGGGGGAGAGGAATCTTCTACCCTCCTGTCAAGTACTGAATGATATTGGAACGGCCATGAGATACTCACCAAGCACAATGACCACAGTCTTCAGAAGGCTCATCATGGTGTCCCGATTTCTACGTGGCCCAGAACTATGCCTAGACATTCTCATAGTCCTCTGCCGCACATATCCGAAAATATGAGCGTACAAGACCACCATAACGACAAAGGTGACCAGGTTGAAAATAGCCCAGAAAACCAAGTAAGAGTCACTATAGAGTGGTGCCATGTTGGAGCAGTGAGCAAGGTCACAGATGCAATTCCAGCCCACGCTTGGTATAGCACCCATGACTATAGCCATAGTCCAGATGACCACAATGACCACCACCACTCGCCGATTACTCATCCGTGTATGTAGCTGCATGCGGAAAACAGTGATGTGCCTCTCAATGGCAATGGCCAGTAAGTTGGCAACAGAGGCTGTCAGACTAGTGTCAATGAGACCCTGACGAAGAAGCCAGGTGCTTACAGTCAATCTTCTAGTGTTGGGTCCCGTATTAAACATTAGGTAGAAATATGCCAGCCCTGCAAAGAAGTCAGCAGCAGCTAAGTTAGCCATTAGGTAATAAATAGGAAAGTGAAAACGCCGGTTGACATAGATAGCCACCATAACTAGGAGGTTGGCTAGCATGATGAAGACGCATACTGTAATCCCAAGGCCCATCACCAGCTTGCTCACAGTGTTCCATTCCGTGGCTAGATACTTCCCACTTCTGTTATAGAAGAAGGCAATGGTTTCATTGTAGTAGCACTGAGGTTCGCTCATGGCTGTGGACTGGAAAAGAACAGAAAGCAGAATTAGAATGGGAAAGTACTGTCATGTCAGGAGAAGGAAAGAAAATATTGTCTTAAAAAGGCCACTGAAAAACAAAACAAAACAAAAAAAGGAAACAGAAAAGGAGGAGCCTTTAGACTCCATACTGTAATTATATCGAAAGATCAAAATTATGTTTATAAATAAAAGGCATGGAAAATGGCAATACAGCTCTTTACTGTTAGGCCTGTTACTAGAAGGTATGTTTACCCAGTGTAACAGGGAAACAGCATATCCCAAATCTCTAGTCACTTTTGTATGGGCAGTTGGCACACAGTCATGAAGGAGACTACAGGAGCAGGAGTGGCAGGAGTTGGGAGATCCCGAAGGGAATCGGGCTCAGCATGCCTGCTGGGAAGCCTGTACAGGGGAACTCACTAAACCCCTCCCCTGGAGTCAAAGGAGGACCCTGGGGGAGGATGTCCCTGCGGAGGCACAAGAACCGGACAGTGACAGACTATGTTGTTGACCCTGGATACTCAACTTTTCGAAACAGCTATTGATAAGGCACCTTATCAATTGTGTTGAATAAAATCGTGTTTAAAACAGAGAAGTCTCCAGTGTTCAGTTTGGAATTAGAGCCAAGACGCAAGAGAAAAGTAGAACTCAATCACAAGTATTTCAGATGCTGCAAAAACAGCTTAGATTTCCTGTTTATCTTTCCTTTGTCATTTGTTGTTTACTTTCTTATCAAAAACAAATCATAAGGCTTTGAGGAAAATTCTCATTTCCATATGAACCATTTTCATTTCGGCAAGCAGAATATTATAATCCACACGTTGAAAATAAAGGTACAAGAAAGGTCTATCATCCTTTGTCTCCAGCATGCGGTTCAACTGGAAACCTGAGCATCTGACATGAACCAGCTGTCAAAGAAAGTCATCTGAGCTGAACAGTAAGTATGGCAAGGAAGATTCTTAAACATGTGTGCTAACCAAAAACGATTCTTAGCAACTGTGAGGTTGTGGAAACAACTGCATGTCAGAAAGGTCAAAGACTTTGTTGGAAGCTATGATTACAAATAGTCAGATACCCTGTTGGAAACTATGATTACAAGCTTCTACAAACTGCCACTAAGAAAACCAAAGAGGGTGTTGACCTTCCTTTCTATTTATTCATTGCAAAATTACCACACAGGAACAACGAAACAAAAAATAGCTTTCAAGGGATGGAAGAAATAGCACATACACTAGGAAGTCATATTATTCTCAACTTTCAAGTGGACTGTTTGAGAAGCTGCTAGTGTCATATTCCCAAAGGGTTACCTCTTGCCATTTGAGCACTATAGTTTATATAAATTACATAGCAAACTCCTTCAGTGAGGCTGACATTGTGCAAAACTGAAAGTACCAGTCATACACAAAAACAGAAGTGCCCATTTATAAAAACCAGTAGAAGGGAAGGTAATAGGTGACAAGGGAAAAAAGAAAAAGAAAAAGAAGGAATTCTCAAAGTGTTGAATTATTTCTTAAACATGTCCCTGAATTACAGTTCTTTCTCAGCAGATAAAACAACATTTGTCGTACATTCATTGTAAATTTGTGGCAAGGGAAGTGAAGATTCCCTGTATGAGAACTATACAGTGGGGTCACGACTTACAAACTTATTCCGTATTGGAAGTTAGTTTGTAAGTCGAAAAGTTTGTAGGTCGAATCTGCATTTCCCATAGGAATGCATTGAAAGCCATTTAATCCGTATCTGCTCTTTTCCGTCCACAGAAACTAATGGGAAACTAATGGGAAGCTGCTATTCCACCTTCTACCACTAGACGGGGATATTTTCTTTTTTTCTTAGGTCAAGAAAATTTCAGGAAAGGAGGGGGGAGGCAGGGAACAGTTTTAAAAGCACTTTTGAAATCTTTTTTTTTTCAACGAAGCCAATTTTAAAGCATGTTTAACACAGAGACAGGAGTCTGGAAGTCACACCTTAGTCCAGTCTTTGCAAGCCAGAATGCCTGACCCACACAATTCTTCGGAGCCACTATCGGTAGTGGTGGGGGCCTCCGAAATGCCTCCCATGGCGGTGGAGAAGCCCTGGGAGGCATCTTGGAAGTCCCCGCCACCGCCGCTTCCCCTGGGAGACCCAATCTACCAAGCTTTCCCCGGGCAGTAGACCAGGCCTCCCGGGGGTTTGTACGTCGATTCTCCGTTCGCAAGTCAAAATGGAATTTTGCAGATGGAGAAGTGTGTAAGTCAAACAGTGTGTAAGTCGAACCGTTTGTAAGTCGAGACTCCACCGTAATTCAAAAAAACACTGGGCCGCATTAAATTCACAGCAGGGAAAATTTGGGAGAAAATCTGGAACCGTACATGTGTCAGCTGACTGCTGAAACAGGTAGAATAGTGCAGCAGAACCAGGAAGGAAAAATATTTTTAAGGAGTTGGGCAGGTGACAAATGCACCAACAAGTGCAGCAGCTGCTGCCATTCTACTACAGACCGCATTCATCAAGGGCGTATGTATAGTGGGGTCTCGACTTGAGAACTTAATCCGTATTGGAAGGCGGTTCTCAAGTCAAAAAGTCTGTAGATCAAGTCTCCATTGACCTACAGTGAATTGAAAACCAATTAATCCCGTAACAGGCCGTTTTTGTTCCATTTTGGTTTTTTTCTGATCTGTAAGTCAATTCTCAGGCTGCAAGTCAAACCTAAATTTTGCGGCCAGAGAAGTCTGTAACTCAAAAAGTCTGTAAGTCAAGCCGTCTGTAAGTCAAGGGTCCACTGTACTGTACATATGACACATGGGGAGTTTCTGAAGGCCCTGTGATGCTCCTGGGACTTATGGAAGGCTCAGTATCACTTTTGCGCATCACAACCTGCCCTGTTGTGCAATAAGGAAGAGCAACAAGCTGCCAACACTGGGGATCCCTCCCTTGCTCCAAATGGCACAGTGTGCCCACTAGTTCTCTCCCCAGTGGCCTGGCCCTCCTGCCTGGCCTCTTGATGCACCACTAGTGCAGAAGTAGAAATGCATACAAAGAGCTTTGCAATGACCCCTTGACCTCTGGGGCCATCTGGGAATGAACAGAGATGGGTAATCATACTTTAAAGCCACCTCTCTCACGCACAAATCGAACTTTTCCTCCTGCTGTGCTGCCCCCCTGGATTTGCTTCCTGACCTGAAGACCCAGAGAAGCCTACTAATTTCAGCAAGTACACTGAGAACCATGCTAATATGGTATGCACTCCCAAATACTTTCTGTCTTCCAAGGGTGAAACGTAACCTGTTCTGTGCTTATCTAGATTTATCCTTCCCTTCTCCCTCCTTCCCATCATATGCCATCCTATACCCCATACCACTATCTGTACCCATAAAGCTGGGATAGTTTCTTTCAGGCAGTTTCTAACCAGGAGAAATACAGTGTGGCCCTAAGTTCAGGACTTACAGAGATTTCGAATAATAGTCAGCACTCTCAAACTCACAGCCTCCCTGTATGTCATGAAGCATGTCATGGTTGTGACCACACCTTTAGTACTCTATATTGTGTGACAAGTTTACAGAGAAAGAGCTGCAAGTATTTTTATTTGTATTTGAATAATTAATCTTTAATTTGGTGGTGCTTTAGTTTATTAGAATGCTGCATTTAAGTATTAGAACTTGAGTTGTCATAATTTAAACTGAAAGACAAGAGCCCTTGTTACTCAATTCAACGAAAGTTTTGAGGAGATGAGATCATACTACAGTATTTGTTTTAAAAACAGAAAAGCAGTCATTATTTCTCAATATGACTCATAGTAAAAAGTTAAGCTTACCCTGAATTGTATCATGAGAGAAACGGTATTATCGCTGAGAACTGAGAGATACGTACTTCAGCTCTCATATTCAAATGCTCCTATTTTATTAAGTTGTGTTGTTGTTTAGTCGTTAAATTGTATCTGACTCTTCGTGACCCCATGGACCAGAGCACGCCAGGCCCTTCTGTCTTCTGCTGCCTCCTGGGGTTGAGTCAAATTCCTGTTGGTAGCGTCGATGACACTGTCCGACCATCTTCTCCTCTGTTGTCCCCTTCTCCACTTCCCTTCACTCTTTCCCAGCATGAGGGTCTTTTCCAGGGAGTCTTCTCTTCTCATGAGATGGCCAAAGTACTGAAGCCTCAGCTTCAGGATCTGTCCTTCCAGTGAGCACTCAGGGTTGATTTCCTTCAAAATGGATAGATTTGATTTCCTTGCAGTCCAGGGGACTCTCAAGAGTCTCCCCGGCACCACAATTCAAAAGCATCAATTCTTCGGAGGTCAGACTTCTTTATGGTCAAGCTCTCACTTCCACACATCACGACTGGAAAAACCATAGCTTTGACAATGCAGACCTTTGTCGGCGAAGTAATGTCTCTGATTTTTAAGATGCTGTCGAGGTTTGACATCGCTTTCCTCCCAAGAAGCAGGCATCTTTTAATTTCGTGGCTGCTGTTCCCATCTGCAGTGATCATGGAGCCCAAGAAAGTCAAATCTGTCACTGCCTCCATATCTTCCCCTTCTATCAATCTTAATTCTGGCTTGGGATTCATCCAGTCCAGCCTTTCGCATAATGTATTCTGCATATAGGTTAAATAAGCAGGGAGACAATATACAGCCTTGCCGTACTCCTTTTCCAATTTTGAACCAATCAGTTGTTCCATATCCAGTTCTACCTGTTGCTTCCTGTCCCATATATAGATTTCTCGGTAGATAGATAAGGTGGTCAGGCACTCCCATTTCTTTAAAAACTTGCCATAGCATGTTGTGGTCCACACAGTCAAATGTGTTTGCATAGTTAATGAAGCAGAAGTAGATGTTTTTCTGGAACTCTCTGGCTTTCTCCATAATCCAGCGCATGTTAGCAATTTGGTCTCTAGTTCCTCTGCCCCTTCGAAATCCAGCTTGTACTTCTGGGAGTTCTCAGTCCACATACTGCTGAAGCCTACCTTGTAGGATTTTGAGCATAACCTTGCTAGCATGTGAAATGAGTGCAGCTGTACGGGAGTTGAAGCATTCTTTGGCACTTAATTTTATTAAGTAGTATGTACTAATTTTCAGTATTGTTGTTTTTTACAAATCACTGTGCTGAGAATGAAATGCAAAACTGGGACAGCAGTGACCAACCAATCATAAGAACTTATGCAATGACGAAGCCAGTTAAGTGAATGTATGTATTAAATACATTTTAATAGATACATTCAGGTTAAATCAAATTATATATACCTTTGGACAAGGAACAGAAAGTTTTAATGAGAATGATGATACCATCATTTTTAAAATAACAACATTATTGTTGTTATTGGGATCAATAACAACAATAATGATCCCAGCAATACACCACACTTTTTCAAACACAGCATTAATCTAAGGCTTACTTTGCTTTGATGAACTACACCGGCATAAAGCAGAATAAACGAATATACAACTATGTAAACTGAACTCTATGGTGACTTTAGAACAATGGACTCTCTATCAGACATCTAGTGTGTTCAGGTGAGATAAGGCCAGAGAAACAGGTACTATTCTGTAGCAGTATAGCACACAATGTATATCTTGATACATTGCAATTCTGTGTATTGTTTTATGAAGAAGAAAAATGCCTGGAATTCTACAAATCATTGCTATTGAAGGTTTCCCTAGTCGTGTTGATTGGTTTCCTTTTCAAGGATTATGAAGTTGATCCTTAATCACTACAGCCCATTTCCAGGTATCTAACTAAGCAGATTAATCATGTTGGGATGTGAGGCAACAATCGTTCAGCTGTCTTTATTCACAAAAATGCCAGAAGAGAAAGCAGTGCAGCAAGAGGCTACTCTGCAGAAGAGTATGTCCTTTGGGGCACTGTTTACTATTTATCAGATTATTAATCAAAGATTAATCTTTTCCTTTTGACTTCATAATCACAATATAAAAACAACAGTTTGCAAACCTCAACCTTATCTGGAATAAGTTGGTGGCTTCCCTCTTACCAGTCATAAATGATGTGGCCGGACATCTTAATGTGGGGAAAAAAACATTTTAGTTTCTGTATTCAAAATAAGAGATGGTTAATATGTGGTGGTGGAGGAGGCTCTTGAGAGTCCCCTGGAATGCAAGGAGAACAAACCTATCCATTCTAAAGGAAATCAACCCTGAGTGCTCACTGGAAGGACAGATCCTGAAGCTGAGGCTCCAGTACTTTGGCCATCTCATGAGAAGAGAAGACTCCTTGGAAAAGACCCTGATGTTAGGAAAGTGTGAAGGCAGGAGGAGAAGGGGATGACAGAGGATGAGATGGTTGGACAGTGTCATTGAAGCTACCAACATGAATTTGACAGACCTCCGGGAGGCAGTGGAAGATAGGAGGGCCTGGTGTGCTCTGGTCCATGGGGTCACGAAGAGTTGGACACGACTAAATGACTAAACAACAACAATATGCTATAACTCTACCTATACATCATCTTCCATCTTCTTAATCTCTTCTGAAGAACATTAATAGAGGTTAAAACAGAGTAAAGCTGTGACTATACAATCAAATACGACAGAGTTTGCTGCCATTAACTACTGTCGTGATAACTTGAATTTTTTTTCTCCCTGACCACACAAGGCACAGGCTGATTAGAACAGGTCTGGCCCATTTTGCTCCCAACATGACTCTTTCTCTGCTGCCGGGGGCTTCTAATTTTTTTTTCCAGTCCAGAATGATTCAAATGGACTTTTCCCCATGTAATCAGTTGATTCATTCTTGGAAGGGGGGAGCATGTCTGTGGGTGGTGTTTTGGTGATGTAGATAGTTGAAGCTTGATGCCTAGGATTGCAGTCTGTGGGTGGTGTTTTGGTGATGTAGGTAGTTGAAGCTTGATGCCTAGGATTGCAGGAACACCCATGACTGTGCTCTTCCCCGCGCAAATGTCTTCTGATTTTTAAATTTTTTTTACATGATGACATTAGAGCTAGATCACCACATCAACCTTCTCATTGGTATTGATATTCTAGTTTAGCACTAGATCGCCTCCAGATGAGAATTTATTTTTAAACGAACAAAACAGAAATGAACCATATGAAATAAAAGACATTCCTGTGGTATGTGGTATTTTTGTACACATTAGAAAAACTTTGGAATGCCACTACTTTTCTGAAATACTATACAACACTTTCAAAACCAAGCAGCTTGACAGTGAACTATAAAAGGATCAGCAGAGACAGGACCAGAGGAAGGAAGGAAAGAAGGGGGGCTGTGGGCTGAAATGCAAATCTTATCACATCAAGTGTGAACACTGAAGTCCTGAATCAACCCACAACCCGTGCATGACTGATCACTGATTTTGAATACAGCTGTAATACAAGCTGCAAATCAAACTGCAGCAGCAAATCTGAATTGGAGCGATTCAGCTTGTTAGTGTAGTTGCAATTTAAGACATCCCTGAATCCAAAACCGACCCTACTTGCAGCACAGATAGATATAAATTTGTTAGGTGATGATTGTTATTATATAAAAAAAGCTTGAATGACTGTCACAACTTCAACAGCTTCTGAACTAACCAAGTGCCTATTCTGACCATTTAGCACACCTTGTGATCCTCTAGGGACGTGGTGCTGCTGCGGGCTAAATCGCAGAAGCCTGTGCTGCAGGGTCAGAAGACTAGCAGTCGTAAGATCGAATCCACGGGACGGAGTGAGCGCCCATCACTTGTCCCAGCTCCCGCCAACCTAGCGGTTCGAAAGCATGCAAATGCAAGTAGATCAATAGGGACCACCTCGGTGGGAAGGTAACAGCGTTCCGTGTCTAAGTTGCACTGGCCATGTGACCACGGAAGATTGTCTTCAGACAAAACACTAGCTCTATGGCTTGGAAACGGGGATGAGCACCGCCCCCCAGAGTTGAACACAACTGGACAAAAAATTGTCAAGGGGAACCTTTACCTTTTATGATCCTCTAAATGTAAGAGCTCAGAAATTTAACCCCAACAGCTGTGCATGAATATTGGTTTTGTTAAGGTTCATTGTTAAACTTAGAAATGCTTCCATTACCTCAATCAGACCTGGTTGTGTCATGATAGAAAAGGGCACCTCCGCTGAAGGATCTGCCATGGTTGCACAAGAGGATGAACAATCTTTGGACCCTTTACGCCTTCCACGTGCCAGATGTTTGGGTAAAATCTTAAGATTCCTGGTCAGTTCTTAGTCATGTTGACATTTGGGCCTAGAAGAAGAGAAACATATTTAAGAACTTTAGAAAAATCTAAAGGAATGCCTGAAGTGGCTGAAGTCCAGACTCCGAATTTCTAGTAAACATTACTTAACTGAACCCATCTGTGTGGATAATCAGCCACCACAACCTATATTGCAACATGCTAGCTCAAGTGCAATTTCTGAAATCAAAGTATGCAATTTTGGCATTAAGAGGCACAAGTTACTTACAGCAGCCATTTTCATTTTGCCTAGAGTTATTCTTTTGCTTACAGAAAATATTATGTCACAAGCTGCATAACAACAACAATATACTGTCGGGTCATTTCCAACTTATGACAACTTTCATAGAATTTGTTAGGTACTAGGAAGTAGTTTACCAGATATTTCTTTCGGTGGTACTCTGGGACTGTACAGCTTCCCAAGGCCACAGGGGTGGCAGAGGACTTCTTTGTTTCTTAAGCTTTTACACGGCCCAGTTAGTGTGAGGCACAAACCCTTTCAGTCACATAAGCTCCAAATGATCTTGGGTAACCTCTCCAGGGAGGATGTCAGCTCCAAGCCCTTGACTCGGCAGCCAGATATTCCTACCCATTAAGCTATACCAACTCTGAACAATGTGGTTACATTTCAGAAAATTTTAAGTGTCTTAATAACCCAGCTATATAAATCTTCAATTAGACAGTATCTTCTGGAATTAGGTGGCCTAGAACTAGTGTATGGATGCGAATTATCCCTCAGCAGTTACTTTGTTCTATCATTCCTCAAATCCTATATGGCACTTTTAACGCTTATCATTACAAATATTAGTATTTACTACATTTCTCAGAAGTCATTTCAAAAAAAGACTTGAGCAGCTTTAAAATTAAAGGATATAAACATTAAAAGCAAGATTAAAAATAATGTGTAAAATTAACAGTCACCACCCCAAACAGACTAGAACATGGGTCTCCAAAGAACGGCCTGTGGGCCACATCCAGCCCACCTTGCCTTTTTATCTGGCCCGCGTTTGAATGAGCATGGGAGTGCGTGTGTACATGCATGCATGCATGTTTCTTTGGCCCTCAAAAATAGAGAAAATATATTATGTGCCTTTCACTGTGAAAAGTTTGGAGACCCCTGAACTAGAGGGACAAAATTTCCTTTCACACAATTCTGAAAGTAAGAAAGATGGAAACCTGTGTGCAGGTATAATCTGTATTTTACTTTGCCACCACTAGAAATCTCTTAACATGGTTCTGATTTTTCAAGAGCTGACATCTCTATTCTGTATAATCTGTCTCAGAAACAACTGCTAGCATTTCCAGGTTCTTATAATCGTGGCCACACTCAAGATGATCCTCCAAACCACTGTTCAGAAGATGATGAACAAACAGCTTGCATTCTTCCTTCCCCTACCATGAAGCAAAGAGAAAGAGATCAGAGTTTTGCTTCACATTAGCAGCAGATCAAAATCTGCTACTGTCTTTGAATATAGAAAATGATGGGCTAAATTTAGTATCAGTCCCAACTGAACTAGATCTGATTTATCTAAGTGGTGACTAATGTCTCATTGATTCCAACTGGTCTGTTCTGGTTGGGATGGCCATTGGATCTAGCCATATGCTTTGAACCAACCATAGTTGTCTAGATCTGGGTGCAATAAAAACCTATAGCTTGCCACTGAGGGAAGTGAAAGCTTCTCTAATCTCTTCTTCCTTGGCTCAGATGAAAAAAGGAAAGAAAATTAGTTTTGCTATGACTTACTCCAAATGAAATGTAATCTGGTTGCAGTTTTTATCCATATAACCCCCCCCCCCCATGAAGAAGGGGAAATCTTACCCCAAAATGGTGAGGATAGCATTCCTTGATTGGCCCAATCATACAGTACCTCCTAACTATAATACTGAAACTTAGAACAAGTTAGTCAGTTCCTTTTCAGTTAAGACTGTGTTTGCATTAGAGTCTACCATATAAACAATGTTAAAGAAAGAAAATTAATTGAACATTATCTCTCAACATGGGACAGAACATGTAGACTCTATTAGCCCTGAGTCCTAGCAGCCCCCAACAGAAGCACTTCTGCTCAGAGTTCTAATCATCCTCCAACAGGAGTCATCAGAGTATTAGGATGACATCACTTGCAAGCCTGTCGTGGTTTGATTTCACACAACACATCCTGGCAGTTTGTTCCAGTTGAAACTGTAGTCATCGTTCACATGAGAATGTTTCGTTATTCCTGGCATGATGTTTTGAGTGTCTACACTAGAGGAACAAGTCAGCTACTGTACTTTTCTCTCTTCGCACAACCCCTTTCCCCTCACACTCCTCTGCCACTCTCACTGCCTCTTCACTACCCCTTTCAATGGCCACTTAAAGCAGTCACTTCCACCAATTCATCTGCAAACAACTGACATGGAGAAATGAATTAGTCTCATTTTTTTCATATCACACAAAAAAAGTCTTCAGCGTACACATATATACAATGCACACAACATTCTTGTCCTTGAGGGCTATAATTAAGCATTCCAGTTCCTTTGGGTTTTCAAAAATATTTTGCAAGCAATGTAGCACGGTCTAAAACATTACTGATGAGTAGAGAAAGAGTACAGCCTCTGATGAGGATAGGCGTTCTCCCTACAACACTGTTTCCCTCATTGTGATTGGCAGGGCTTGAAAAATACACTCGTCCACTCGTCTGTGATGAGCAAACAATGCTGCTCATTGAGCCACAGCTCCTTCCCTGCCTGCCTCCTTCCCCTCCGCCTGTCTCCCTTTCTCTTTAATCCTGCAGTCCTCCCCTCCCCCTCCCATTGCAAGAGGAAAACCGCCCTCTTCGCATGAGAAGAGAGTTCAAGCAGCACATAGAGCTATAGCTCTGCAGGAGAATGTAGAGTAGTCCCATGCTGGAGAATATGGAGATTCCTTCTCCCAATTTCAACTGAACAAGGACACCTGGGGTGGGAGGGAACTGTGGCTCCTTAAGAGGCCGGGTGCTTTTGCTTTCAGTTTTATTTTTGCTAGAGACATTCAAAAGAAAGGCATTCAAAATACAGTGGGGTCTTGACTTGAGAACTTAATCCGTACTGGAAGGCGGTTCTCAAGTCAAAAAGTCTGTAAGTCAAGTCTCCATTGACCTACAGTGCATTGAAAACCGATTAATCCCGTAACAGGCCGTTTTTGTTCCATTTTGGTTTTTTTCTGGTTGGTAAGTCAAATCTCAGTCTGCAAGTCAAACCTAAATTGTGCGGCCAGAGAAGTCTGTAACTCAAAAAGTCTGTAAGTCATGCCGTCTGTAAGTCAAGGGTCCACTGTACAAGCTTCATGACCCCACAGGCACGCAGGTAATAAAGAAACCCAAGTCTGAGGCTATAAATCAGTGATTCCCAATCTTGGGTCATCCAGGTGTCCTGTGACGGGTTCTTGTGCTGGCCAACTCCTGGTGAAGGCTTCTGGGAATTTCAGTCCAAGAACACCTGGGGGGACCCTAGATTGGGAATCAGCACAGCCAGTTGTTTAAGACATAGACACCCAGATTCAACTCACAAAATTAAGTTATTAACACATTCAGGCAATTTTGGTTCTTTAGCCAGCATGAACCAAAACAAATCTTTCCTCATAATCTGTGGACATTATTAGATCACCAAATAAATAACTAATATTGGTCATTGTTTCTCTGATAGTCTCAGCATCAAGAAAAGTTTTTTTCTTTTAATACCTGTCTTCTACTTTGTTTACAGGGATAATTGTTCATCATGTCAAATGAGATTTTGTCTGAGTCATTTTAAATGACACACACAAAGAAAATCTCAAGCACTGCAGCATCATGGTGGAAACTATTCCCCCCTCTTTTTAAAACATGCTTATTGCAAGACAATTATCTTCAGTGTCTCAAGCACTTCTGAACAATCCTTTGATGGCATATTATTTATTCTTTTCCAAGCATTATAGTTAAGATGGATTTCATTTTTCCTGTTGGGATAGAAGAATACAAAGATAATGTGCTCCTTCCAAATTGTTTTAGAAGAAAAAAAAATACTCAAAGGACATCATAGCATATTCTGAAGATCCTTCGTTCCAATTTAACCATTAATCCTCATACTGCTGCCTCTTCTTTACACTAGCAAAGCTGTAAGACTGTTTCAAGACATTTCCTAAGAACTTTCACCTACCCATTCTGTATAACCTCTCTTGTTCATCTGACACATCCATGCCAATACACCTCATGTGCCTAATGAAATAATCCAGGTACAAATGAAACACAGACCACCCTAGTTATTTTGGCAACCCAATAGGAACTCCATAAACCTCTTATTTTTGATGCTCACTGAACTCCTAAACAGGACAGTCTGTCAAGCACTTGACCAACCACTAATTCTGCTTGGGTGGGCTGTGATCAGTACGGACTTGGAAGTTCTCTCCCTGGTCTAAAAAAACTCATGCAAACAAGAAAAGCTTGCCCCCACCACGCCATGGCTCTTATTAAGTGGCATGGTTGTGCCCTGGAATTTATATATAAATATACATCTGTGTACATACAGTAGGCACTAATCAAAGAGGCAATGGGCATTTTAAATGTATCTTGGCCAGGGACAAATAAAGCAGTAGTCTCACCAAATGTACATGGACTCAGAGTCAGACTTACTCCAGGGTCACAGCCTCTGTGAAAAGCCTGTTTCTGCACACCTCTGACCAACCAGGTGGTGCTCTGACTCCCTTGTTTAGCACTTTCACTCGGCTGGAGGAGCGTCTGGCGGGGGGGGGCGGACCAGGGTAGTTCCGCCGGCCCTGTAACATATGCCAATACCTGAAGTCAATGGATGGATTCAGTACTTTTTTCCCTACTTAGCAGCACTAGGGTGAAAACGAAACTGTTGCTCGAAGTCCCAGCCACAGGCACCCATGTCTTTGAGTGGACAACCTGGCTATTCCAGACTGTATCTTATCTCTCTGGAATAATTCTGTGGCACTGATTATCACAATATTCTTCCTTTTGCTTCCTTGCAGAGCAGAGAGGAAAGCTAAATTAGGTAA